CGATCAGCTTTTCCGCTCGAAGCTCTGCGCAAGGACATCGGAAGTAACACGGGCCGCCCCCCAGCCCGCGCTGCCCGTTCCCCTTTTAACTCTCAGCCCGCGCGCCTCACAGTCTCTGGCCCGAGTTGGCCCGCAAGGGCCCGCGTCCACCCTTTGTTAGGCCCGCAGCAGGCCCACGAGCGACCCGCTTTTGCAATACTCCACCAGCCTAGTGCGGCCCATATGTACACAGCCCAGAAGTGCTCCAAGGCGGCCTGATTCACCTGTGCGCGGCTCATCTAGCATAGGAGCAGCCCCAGCAAGCCCAGAATAGACCAGGACGTGTCCAGACGTGGCCCAACAGCCTAAGAGTCGCCCATTTAGTGTCTAAGGTGGCCCAGAATGATACCAACATGGTCCAACAGCCTCATTTTGTGCTTAAGACTAATTCGGGATGATTCGAAGCGAACGGTAACGTTATTTGAGATAACATTCTCAGTAGCAGTATCATTTGAGTTATCTGTGGAGTGTTATTTGATTTATCCTTGGAGCTTATTTGATTTATTTGAAAGCATAATATTGGATTACTCATGGAGGTATTATTTGATTTACTCGCGCAATTATTTGACTTATTCATGAGAATAATTCGGTATATATTCGTGGGAGCACTATTTGATCCATTCGTGAACCGTTGGATTTATTTGCAAGCATGTTATATGATTAATTCGTAAAAATTACTTGAATTACTCTTGGGAGTTGTTTGAATTATTCATGGAGATTATATGACTCGCTCGTGGGATTAGTTGATTCGTGTGGTGAGATAGTATTTGATTTGTTCGTGGATATTATCTGATTTATGCATGAGATTATTCGATTTGCTCGCGAGATATGATCGGATTTATTCTTGAAAATTTTTAACTGGCTTGTTGAGATAATACTTGATATATTCATGGAGATGTTACTCGATCTATTCGAGCAAATATTTGCATATGTTCATGGAAATATTATCTAATTTACTCGAGCAAGTATTTGATCTATTCGTGGAATCAATCGATTTATTCATGGAAAAATTGTTTATTTGAGGATAAATGCGGGTCATAACTTTGAACTGAGAATATTTTGCGATCGTGCTTGACGTGCGTTGGGCATGTTTATCACTCTCGCACAGGTGGGCTTGAGGACATGAATTAAATTTATATATGATTGGTTATTTTGATATATTCGGAGTCTCTCATTCGGATTTTCATGAGCGCATGTGGAATTTTGTCTGATTTATATTGCCCATAATTTTCTGAGCGTGTCATTGCTAGAACATGCCTTGAATCTAGAAGATAGTGATGTTCGTATTTGATCTCTTATTTTTCTCGTGAGAGAAATGATAAAATGGATGACATGAATAAATGTTGATAACGACATCTCTTTGAATTCTTGTCGAGGAACCCACGGGATGATGCAAGTCTTGACAAATTATTGAGACAAATATTCGAGTGTCGAGGACATAATGAGCGAGCACGAATCTATCAATGTGAGATGACAATGGAGGTTATTGTAACGCCTCGTTCGATTTGTAGAAATTCTCGGAATATTCTATTTATCCAATATTATTTAAAAGGTTATATTTATTTTATTAGTCGCGATCGGGGTACTGGATCGTTTTATTTTTAAAACGTTCGCCGTTAGTCGATTACGGTTTAATCGCGTGAACCGAATATAATCCGTTTGAATATGGAATATTTGGGTTATTTATCATTTATTGTCTTTATAATTATTATTATTATTATTATTATTATTTTTATTATTATTATTATTATTATTATTATTATTATTTAAATGCCTGATTGCCCTTAATGGTTATTCATTTGATTGTCATTATTATTACTAATATTTATTTAAATGTCTAATTTGCCTAAGTAATTTTATGTGATTAATGTGTATTATTTGTAAATATTATTATGTGTATTATATTTAAATATACTGGAATCATAGCTTTCGCATCGTAGAAAGTTCACAGACGGGGCATCTTTCTTGCAGGTTGTGTTTAATTGCGTATTAATAATAATATTAA